TGAGCGACTCCAACATTATCCAGGACACGTGGAGCAACCTACATTATTATGCAGAAAGTGGTCAAACAAATCCTTTCAGCTGATGTTACATGCCAGATTAGCTCAGCCAAAACTTATCTATAACAGTTTATCTCTTTGAAAACCGGGGAGGGTAGACAGTGTATATAATTGTAGAAACTGTAGAAAATTGTCAGAAGATATGAACTAAAAAGTCATTATCATTATTGTTGTTTAGACTTTTTATCCAATGTATTTATTATGTTAGGATTTTTTGTCCTCTAGCCTTTGGAAAATTAAAAAAGCCTACGGTTAGACTTGATGACTTTTTTGTTTGTATATGTAAGATGTAGTCTATATATTGGTTTTCAAGCCAACATAATAATGTATGTAAATTCTCTCCATCTTTGGTTGCCTACTTAGTCTCTAACTTCTAACTTCTCTTAACACCATAATTCTATCATAATTCCATAATAAAAATAGTAAAATGCTCCTTTCCTTTTGGTTGGAAACTAGGTTTCTCCACGTTTTGTGTAGTTGCGTGTCTAGTCAGGTGGATCCAAACTTGTTTACCCTTTTTAGATTTTTTAGATGATGTAATTGGTTGAGTTTATTTTGTTTGATGCTTAGGGGTTGTTTGGGATGACCTAAATAAGTGTACTTTTTGTCTTTTTACGAAAAGATGTGCAGAAAAGTCGAGAGGTGATGTGATGAAAAAAAGATAAAAAGATAAAAAGATGGATTATTTGAAGTATGCCAAACTTGGCCTTAGTTTTCTATAAAATTTTATTCGTCACAAAAAAAAAAAATTAAAAAAAAAAATAAAAAAAAAAATCCATTCTTGACATGATAGGCATTGAGGGACATTTACCTGACTAGGACTCCTTAATGGAGGGATTTGATTAGGATGTCATCAGCCCCTTTTCGAATTTCAAATCTCTGCTGCCAGAATCTGGCACCAGCTTCTTGAAGAAGCTTTATCTTCTCAGCACTGGACTATAAATATGCCCTAAGCGTTGCCTTGATCTCACTTTTGCTCATCCATTTACTTTGATGCCTCTCTTTCTTCTCTCTACCTTCTTCTGTGGCTGCCAAGAAAATTTTCACTTCTGAGAAAGACCCCAAAACTGTTGGGCCTTTGATTGATGACCTCCTTAAGGACAAAAAGCCCTCCATCTTTAGTAGACCTTCCTTCCTCCATTCGATCTTCTCTCCACTGCAAACTAGGGCTTGGCCTTGCCTTCGCCACTGGTTTTCCTTCATACTTGGAGTCATATTACCCCTGCCTTGAGAAGAAATTACCCTTTGAGAACTCAATCCCTCTTGATTGGAGTCGCTACAATCTCCCTTCTCCCTTTAGGGTTTGACACTCCCCCAAACTTGAATACATGGCTTGGCTAGATCGCATCGCAGCAGCAGGGAGCCGTCTTTGGAAGAATGCTGGCATTTATGACACCATCATGCTCAGTCGTGGCAACATTCGCCTCGACAGAGCTCTGTTCTTATCCATCTCTCAGTTTTGGTCCATTTCCTTTCACCTTCGAAATGGTATGATGGCCCCAACTCTTCAAGATGTTGCTTTCCATACTGGATTTCACCCCCATGGCGAAGAAGTTGACAAATACGTCTGTCCTAACAAGAAGAAGCTTTCCTACTCTGGCTTTCTTTTTGCTGTCCAGAAATCTTCAGTTGTTTCTGACCATGAACACATCTCCTTCCTGATATATTGGTTGAAAAAAATTGTCTTCTGTGTTCTTTCCCAGAAGATCACAGAGGATTTTACTGAGCTGGCCAAAGCCCTGTCTCTAGGCCGAAAGTTGGCCATTGGTCCTTTAGTGCTTGCCCATCTCTACAGAGGCATGATGGAATTGATTTCCTCTCGCCATACAAACGGTTCTGGCCCCTTCTAGCTCTTGCAGTTATGGCTCTGGTCTTACTTTCCAGAGTTTGCACCAATCATTCTTGACCCACGGCCCAACTCAGAAAGTTTTGGCCTCTGTTACTTAGAGGCCTATCCCAAAAAACACATGTTTGAAGCCTGCTTCACCACCTTCTTCAAGAAATGGTCACAAGAGAAGCTTCTGACTTGCTGCCTTTCTCTTGCAGCTCTGTTCCTTCTTGCTTGACTGCTCCTCCCTCTCAAGCAACTGGCCAGCAAGATGAACAGTTTGACATTTGGGCCATCTTACTGATTTCCAGAGACTTGCCATTCGGCCCGAGTTTTTCGCCCAATAACACCAAGTGTGGCTTTGAGATCTATAATGCTTCTCAGTTCGCTAGCCAATTTGGCATGTCTCAAATGATTCATGTTCCTCCTTACTGGTCCCAGAACGACACTTTTCTGGACAGGTTTGTCCTAAATAACTTAGAAATTGAGGCTCTAGGCAATGTCTTCCCAACCCTGAAAGATCTGGACTTTTGAAGATCATATTCAAATGTGATGTGTAAGTTTTTGACCATATTCATATGCAAAGTAGTCCTCTACATAAGTAGCAAAACATATGTCAAGAATAGATATTGATGAGATTCATGGATCAAGGCAAGAAGGGGGGAGGTAACCAAGGCTTAATTCAAGTACATCCTTAAAGTCTAAAGAATATACTTGAAGGGGGCATTGTTTGTAACCTTTTTGGCAAAAATTGCCACATGGAAATTCCCTGATTGACTGAATGCCACATGGCGATAGGAAGGTGATTTGGTAAGCCCAATGAAGTGGAATGGCAGCTGAACATGAGGATGTGATTTTATTAATTAAGTGACCAAGTCAATTGACTATTTATTAAGAATAAAGATGCCTCAACCGTTTCCTAGGAGATAAGACTTGGTTGAAGCCCACAAGATGCTCATTTCCTTAAATCAAGCAAGGTGGTTGATCCATGATTTGATGAGTGGATCACACGTGGGGATTAAGAGATTTAGTGAACCAACAAAAGCTACAAAAGGGGCAAGCTAGTTGTTAGTGGTCAAAGTGACTGCTATTTTTGAGCCTCAAGTCAAGAAACATGGGACATGATGGGACAAGTGGCAAGACCTAGGGCTGCCACATCCTGGTGGTTGGGGCAAAAAAAGGAGCCCTTCCAACACTATAAAAGGACTCCAAGCATGACATTTGAAGGGGTCCAGCACTGAACACTCAACCAAGAGTTCATTCACACATTATCTTAATAATTTTTCAACCAATTGTCTTTTACTTAAGCAATTCAATTCCAGCAATTAGTTGTTTAGCCAAGTTAGCCTTAGATTAGTCAATTGTACTTCATTTTCCATTAATGTAAGTACAATTCTAGTTTAGTTTATTTGCACCTAGAAAATTTGTTAAAAGACCTCTTTAGTGGGGCAAGATTCGAGCCAGTGGCAGTTCCTCTTAGCCACACAGTCTTAACCCTGTGTGAAGTCAAAAATTTCCAATACATTCCTAACCTTGGACCAAGTTCATAGGTCCTGGCACGCCCCCTCAATCCATTCCTAGTAAACACACGCCTACGTGTTTGCCCTTAGTTTCTGAGTGGCAAATAGATTATTTTGTTTTGTTTTGATTTTTTGAATAGCTGAGTGACAAACAGATTCTATATGTTGGATCAATAAGCCATATTCAATTGTGATGTAGGACAAGATTCTTTGAGTTTCTATATTTTTATTTTTAGTATTTTGAGATTATTGTTTTATTAGGAATTTTATAATTTGGTAAGGAATAGCATACAATTATTGAAAAATGATATAGATGCCGAATTTTTTGTTGATGCCAATTGACAAGTGTGAAGAAAGTTATTATCTTCACATGGCCGCATTCAATGCATTGCAATGAATAGTTACCACATATGTCGGTTTCGGTCGAATAGGTTGCAGCAACAGCAGGACTCATAATTATCAGGTTTTTTTATTTGAGTTGATTTAGTTTTCCTATTTTACTGCCTTCTTATTTTCCAAGTATTTGTTTTCTTTAATCCTTTCCTAAAAGAAATCCTTCCATTTTTAAATTTTATCATAAATAATCATGTAAGCTTAAAGGCCAAAATTGTTCATTATTTATCAATAAAAGGTTCAGACTTTTGTCTCTCCTTGAGAGTTCTCTCTTTGTTGCTAGTGGATTCCAGTTCCCTATGGATTTGGATTTTCTTCAACATGCTTTCAGTTCCACCTCAACTGGTGTAAGAGTGAGGATGCCGTGTTGAAGAAAACTCGAATCCACAGAAAACTGTTCGTGTCTATGGCATTAATTGTGATGCCTACTCCATACGTACGACATAGGCATCACCCATGCTACACCAAACACTGAGAGCAAAAAGCCCCATATCTTTAAGGCTACCGAGCAATCCGGTAAAAGATGATTCACTGATTCTGCTGCTCTCTTACACATGTAACGCCAATCCATCAAAAGCTTTCCCCTTTTCCTCAATTTATCAATGGTAAGAATAGTGAACTCTTCCAGGTTCTTTTATATTGTGATTCATGAAATTATTTGGTGTGGGAATTGAATGCATTTACGATGGCTTAAGGCCTCGTTTGGGAATTGGCTATTTTATTTGTCTTTTCATTTTTTAACGAAAATGTGTAGCAAAGTAGAGAGAGTGATGTGACAACTTATAGTGACTTTTTGGCTATTTTAACCAAATGCCAAACTAGGCCTAAATATCACTGGAACTCACCCAAAAGATGTAGCCAAGGTTGTCATTGTGTTAATTGCTTCTACCTACGAATCCAAGACTCCGTGCAAACTTTTGATGTGGGACTTAACACATGCCAACACGAGTTGGGTCTTTACAATCCCCCCATGCTTTCTCATTTGTGAAGGGCCCAAACACCACAATTAACCCTCGTGGTTACTTCAAATACTATGAACGACTAGTAGTCAGCCCCAGAACAGAGTGACTATGTGTTGTAGTGTCCTTGTTAATATATCTTATTCTCATTTATTTGAATATGCATACATTTGTACATATTTATCCATCAGCCTATTTTTTGAAGGTTATTAATAATAGAAATGTTAATTGGTTTTCCTACAGGCAGAATTACGAATGGATGATGTTAAAAATGTGATAGTGCATAACCTGTCGGTATGTTTTGGTTATTTTTTTAAATCTTTCATTTTTGTTGTTTCCAGTTATCAATATTGGGTCTCCTTGACTTTGATTCAGCTCTGCAATATCTGATTTATTTATTTATTTTATTTTTTTTTTCAAAACTTTCTAATTGTGCTGGCAGCATAATGTTCCATGTTGGTTTTGTTATATCCTTTTCTCTTTTTTTTATGTTTTTTTCCCCGGTAAGTAGTATCTTTTATATTGCATATTAACCTTAATGAATCATTAAATCTCTCCTCTTTTTTCAATGAAAACTGTTTGCTTGATGGCTGCTTGTTGGAATGTTGACGACTTTATCTCCAGAATGGGATGTTTTAGCCACTTACTTAGCACTTATTTTGTGAATGGCTGGGTCAATGCAAAGGCAGTTTAATGTTAAAGTCAATCAACTTGTGATTCAAATGTATTATGGAAGGATGAAACTAAAGTATATTAGATTTTGTGACATTATTTATTTATTTATTTCTTAGAATATGTTGTTCAGGTTTTAAAATGCTTTCAGAAAGTCCTACAATTATAGAAAATTTTCAGAATGGAAGTGAATATTTTGTGGTTTTTTTTTTCAAAGCAAGATTTAAAATGATTAAGCCTTTGCTTCCGGATTCTGATCTGCTACTCCTTCCGCATTTGCCAATGGATGTGCATGACGCTTCTCCATGATATCTTACTATACCTTGCAAGCTCTGTAACAGAGTTTTAACGTTTCTGCTTTCTTAAAAATATGTGAATAAAAATACAGTGGCAACACAACATTTGGATGAGTTTCTTCTTTTTCTTCAAAAGAGAATTTTGAAAGTGATATATGACATGCTTTTCATTTTACATGCATTTGATCCTTGAGTTTAGGAAATTTTGTTGATATTATTTTTAATATATAGCATTCGTTAAATGGTACTGAAAGCATGGCCATGTTCTCACTTATATACTATGAAGCATGGGTACTTCAAAAAACATGTCGTACCCGTACCGGGTACTTACCGGCGTATGGTACCTCGTATGGTACTTCTGCATACGTACTGGGTACACGAAACACGTACCCAAGTTTTTTCTTCTTAATTTTTGACGTACCCAGACGTACCTAATATATATCCAAGCCGTACCGTACCTCAGTTGAAACAATATTTTCCTTCTACACTACAGAGATAAAACTCATTTCACTAGATTTCTTTTTTAGTTTTTGTTTTATGCTTAGCATGATTTTAAAATTAAACTATAGTTTGTAAGTTATTTAATATATTGATATTTAATTTTAATTTAAACTTTTCCTTTTGGCATTAACTGTTAATTATAGGTTAGACCTTAACAAATTAAACCATTTAATTAATTTTTACATTACTCTAAATTAAAAATAAATATTTTTGTACAAGCGTACCAAGCCGTACCCGTACCCTATTTTTTTTGAATTTTACCGTATTGACGTACCCGTATCGTACCAGTACCAGTACTCGTACCCGTACCTGTGCTTCATAGCTTATATATCTAGTTATTTAATGATACAATTGTCTACAACTGGACACATATGTCATTGAGAGTAGAAGTATAATGGTCTTGTAATTGATGCTTGGACCATTATGCCTCCTCACGCAAAGCTAGGCTATCATTAATGTAAAGAACATTTAGTCATTTTGGCTAATTATAACAGCATTACGCACATTTACAATGAATTGTTGATACTTGTTATGAGGAGAAGAAGAGAGTGTACCCCAATTGCTAAATGCTTGCATAAGTTTCTTAGTTTTAAGACCATTTTTATAGATCAAGGGCAAGTTTGGGAAGTTTGATAATAGCCAAAAAGTCAAAAAGTTACTCAAAAAGCCAAAGAACCATACAAAAAAGTCAAAAATTCCCTCTCCTCTCTACTTTTTGCACTTTTTTTTTTCATAAAAAGTCAAAAAATCATTCCAAATTATATTTTAGCCAAAAAGTTACTAAAATAGTCTATTCAAACCAACCCTAAAGTAAACTGTTAAAGTATCTTATGCTGAAAGTTCTACAAAATAGGTCTAAAATGTTGTGATCACTACTTGGATTTCCCATTATTTTGTGTACTTTGATTCATTGCTCCCTGCGACAAACATCAGTTGGATGATGTCACTGAATTGTGAATTGAGTTCATATCTTTGATCACTTATAGATACTTGAGAGAAGTGTGATTAATATGAAAAAACATGGCAGGTAATTTCTTTTTTTTTTTCTTTTAACTTTTTCCTGGTGGGCAGTGGGTGGGGTTGTCCCTTTTAATGGGGAGCAAGAACGGAGGGAGCGCCATAGAGGCATAGGCAGAGCCATTATAGTGCGAGTGGGGGCCATTGCCCCACTGGGTTTTGGGAAATTTTTTTTATTATTTTGTTTTATGGTTTTATTGTTATTGTTATAAAGTTTCCCACTGAAATTTTGAAAATGCCATTCTTACCTATAGTTTTAAAATTATATAGATTTATCCAAACTAGAATTATGAAATGTTTCTGCCTATGTTTTAAATTTATTTTCAATTTGCCCTTTTGAAATTTGGTTTTTGCCCCTTTGCAAATTTGTGTATGGTTTTGCTCCAACTGGACAAAAATCTTGTCTCTGCCTCTGGTGAAGGTTGTTGAGACTGTTCACACTTAACTTGTTGTCTAGGTTATTGGTGAGCAAAGGGAAAGATTCTTTTTTGTCAAGTTGCTTGGTGAAATTGGATTCTTGGGTCAAACAAAGTAGATATTCTTATACATTAATGAGGTCATCCTAATGACATTGTCTTATTGCTATTAGTTACATATTATTTTCTGGTGCGGCGGTAATTGTTAGATAGCTTGATATACATTGTTGGGCACATTTTCTAATAGTTTAGGCTTTTGGGAAAATTGGTAACTTGACATGGTATCAGAGCTCTGGTTGAAAGAGGTCTTGGGTTCAAGTATCTCTATTGACATTCGGTATCCGTCCCCCGTTTGAATTATTCTTCTCTATTTGGTTGTCTGCTTCTCCTTCAGTTTGGTTCTCTGTTTGTCTCTCCACATACAAGCCGGGGTTGCACGTGAGGGAGGGTGTTACATAGCTTGATATACATTGTTGGGCCCATTTTCTAATAGCTTAGGCTTTTGGGAAAATTGGTAACTTGACAATAATTACTGTTTTTTTTCCTTGTCTTATACCTATGTATATAAGTGTATATTCATGCACGCTAGCCACATCATTCCACTGAACTTGAAAACAAAATTTGCTTATATGTGATATTTTAGATAAATTTGGCAATTGCACATATTGGCCCCACTGGTTTGATAGGAAAAATTTTAAGATTTAGTCTTTGGGTGTTAAAATGACAAAGGTGGTTCAATTGTGTGAGAAATGTCTTTCTATTTCTTTATTGGAGAAGAAATTTCAACTTGGACGCTTGAGGTTGTCTCCAACCTTTTTTTTTTTTTGTAAATAAATGTCAAAAGGCAATAACTTTTAATTGATTGACTTGTATTTAATTAATTCAAACATTTAATTGTTGAGCTTTATGGAATGTAATGTTATTTTATGTTGAATTAATTTGTTTGACTTCTAGTTGAGATTTCTCTTATAATATTTTTGTTCGTGTTCTTAACTAGTAGGGTTTTTATTTTTTAACAACATTATTTTTTAACAACGACTGGGGAGATTGGAGCGGATGTAGTCTATAGAATTCAGGCAGGTGGCTTAAGTGGAGGAGTGCGTCTGGAGTACTGTGCGATAAACAAGTACCTAGTAGACTAAAAGGGAAATTCTATAGAACGGTTATTAGACTATCGATGTTGTATGGAACAGAATGTTGGGCAATTAAGAAACAACATGTAGATAAGATGAGTGTTGTTGAGATGAGGATGTTAAGGTGGATGTATGGCAAGACTAGAAAAGACAAAGTTAGGAATGAGCATATTCGAGAATGTGTAGGAGTAGTACTAATAGAAGATAAGTTGAGAGAGAATAGATTGAGATGGTTTGGTCATACACAACGAAGACCAACAGATGCAGTAGTGAAGAGATGCGATACAGTGACGGTAGATGGTAGTGTGCTAGGGGAAGGGGTAGACCTAAATTGACGTGGACTAGTGTAGTAAATAGAGAGATGAACCTCTTTAATTTGACCATTGAAATGGCCTTGGATAGAGTCAAGTGGAGAAGAAGGATTCATGCAGCAGACCACATTTGACGAGACTTAAGGTTTGGTTTGGTTTATTTTGTTTACATGGATTTAAGCATGTTTATTTTTATTTTTATTTTTTTTGCTAGATATAATGTTGGAGTGTAGATTGTTCACATATTAGTCATCTATAATCTTAATAAGAATTCTCAATTAATTTTATAAAAAGTGTGTATTGGCTATTTTATTTAATTTTTGGTTCAATTATCCCGTCAACTATATTGCAAGATTCATCTCCTATCCCAAGCAATAGTTGGCTTAAGTTTTTTGTTGACCCTAGTGAAAAAAAATTAAAAAAATCCTTGAGATGCCACTACATGTATCTGTTATAACTTATAAGCTTAACGAGTTCAACAACTAGATATTAATGGGCTTTGCAAATTTGTAGTACTAGAGATTTTGAGATACAAGTACGACCTCCTTCAATTGTATAATGTCCTTTATGCTTGTTATGCCACATAAATGCTAAATCGTTGTTACATAATTTTCGCTCTCGTTGGCTGCAGCCGGGAATGGTAACAACTGATCTTCTGTTGTCTGGAGCTTCTACAAAGCAGGTAGAATGTGTATTGCATATTTCCTTGATTTCTTTTGTGAAACTTTTGGATCAATCAAGTGAAAGCATTTTATTTATTTCAGGCCAAGTTTTTCATTAATGTTTTGGCAGAACCGGCAGAAGTGGTAAGAGTTTATTGATGTGGTGATCTACCTAAGGGAGTGATGTACAAGCAGTGTTTTTAATTCCTTGTTTTTGAGTTTTAGGTGCTTGCTTTGTTTCAATAGTCATCTGAATTCATGATTATGGACTGTGATGTTCGATGAAATAAATCATATGGTTAGGTTTTCCAAGTAGGAAAATGCACATACAAGACTTAGAGATGGACCGTTTAGACACAACATTCTAGGCTATGATCAACTACTGATTGAATTATGTGTGAGTGCTCAAATGAATTTGGGAAGAGATAAAAGAAGAAAAAAAAGAAAACCGGACTTCTGAAGATCATATTCAAATGTGATGTGTAAGTTTTTGACCATATTCATATGCAAACTAGTCCTCTAGATAAGTAGCAAAACATAATAAAGAAATGAACACATATTTGCAAAATATGCATTGAAGATGTTATAATTTATGTATCATTTGGAACAATTATATTCTATTTTGTTGCATTTCCTTTTCTTTTTGCAACTTGCCTGTGTGTGCATGTGCCTGTGTGTTTATACGAGTGAGGGCATGCATGTAGGTAGTAGAGTACCTCGTCCCAAACAACAGATCTGTCCCTGCCAATGGATTGAGCAAGCCCACTTACATTCGATTCCTTACTGGCTTGAAAGCATACTCTCAGATATTCTCAGTTAAGTGGGAAAAAAAAATGAAAAGAACTTTTGATTCTTGGTTTTCTATATTTAAATTGTGGTTATTAATCTTTTTTTTTTTTTTTTGGCCATATTGTGTAGAGATTTGCTTTTGGTGCTAGGAGGAATCGATATTTGCTTGAAGATTGATGAGGATCAGAGGTCTAATATGTCCATACAACATATTTTCTTTCACATAAAATTTGCTGCTCTCTCTCTCTCTCTCTCTCTCTCTCTCTCTAGCTTTTATTTGGCTGTGGCATAATTTTTGTTTCTGAAAATAGTTTGAATTATATGTACTTAAGGAAATTATAAAAATGATTGAGTATATTATTTTGGGTGACCTTACTTTTCGTTCATTTTGTAATAGCTTACTGTTTTTTTATGGCTATTTGAACTCTAGTTGTCGTGGCTTTTCCCAAAATAGGCCAACCTACTAAGTTATTTCCCAAACTAAGCCTAGTTTGGCCGAAATTCCCAGAATAAGCTAAAGCGTGTTTACAAAACACGCTTTCAGCATGTTTCTAGCCCAGGCGCAGAAAATGAATAAAATCATAAAAGTGTGGTTACAAAACATGCTTTTAATTAAGAAAATGCTGTTTCTATTAGCGTTTTCAACTTTAAGTGAAAGCACGATTTAAAAACACGCTTTCAACAGAAAGCTTCATTTGTAACCACGCTTTTAAAGAAAATGTGCTTTTAAAAGAAAGTGTGGTTCTTAACCACGCTTTTAAAAGCCATATAAAATGGCCCACCCCCATCATTTGCAACCATGCTTTTTATACACTTATCTTTTTTTCCCCTACAGCCTGAACCAATTCTCCCTCTCTCTATTGATCTTTGCTCCCTCTCTTTCTTCGTGGGTCGCTCACTGCTCTCTCTCTCTCTCTCTCTCTCTCTTCTGTGGGTCACTCTCTGCTCTCTCTCTCTCTCTCAGTTTGAATTTTTTTTTTTATGTTGATTTCATTTGTGACAATGTGAATGTGGGTACATAGAATAGTGTGTGAATTCAAATTGGGGGTTTTGTGAATTCAAGAATAGTTTTGTGAATTCAAATTGTTTTGTGAATTCAAATTGATACCAATGTGGGTTCTGTGAATTGAAATAGGGTTCTGTGAATTGATACCATTTTAACACCATTTTAAATTGATACCCTAGAATTGATACCATTTTAATACCAATAGGGTTCTGTGAATAGAAATTCTGGTTTTGAATTCACAGATTGAACCCTAGTCCTAGCCCTAGCCCTAACCCAATTCTAGGGTTTTCAATTGAATTTGATTTCACAAATTAGGGCTAGGGTTTTGTGAATTCAAATTTTGGTTATTATATGCATTTGTGTTTGTTTGTGAATTCAAATTTTGATTAATTATGAGTTGCACCAATCTCTGTGTTTGTTTGTGAATTCAAATTTTGTGTAGATAGGTCGATGTACACAGAATCCATGTCCCAAAACCTGGGTCAGGACATAGATAAATTATATTTTTTTATTGCAAATAAAATTATGGATAAACCCAAAATGATATTTGTCACTTTCTTAAGTAAGTGAGTCAATCTCAATCATATGATTAACGATTTTACTTCAAAAACACTAATTGACGTTATTAATTGAATCAAATTAATATAAAATTTTAAATCAAATCAATTAAAAATGTATGAATCAAAATAATGTGTGAGACAAAATACAAAAACTACCAATTTAAGTTAATTTTATCCACTAAACATTACCACTTTTCCCTATCTTCATGCCACGGAAGATCCAAGGCTACCGGTTGGCAAATTAAATTTTATTTTTTATTTTTTATATTTTTTATGATTGTCAGACAAATCTTCACAAAAATAATAAAAAATAAAAAATTTAGTCCTCGATCTGTATTGAAGAGTGTTGTTCGAACACATGGAGTGCATTACGAGTTTGATTATAATAATCTAAACCATTTGTTTTTTATTTTACATTTTCCATTATTTAGTATTTTTAGAGTACTACTATACATTATTCATGTTAGAATACTTGTCCAATTATCTCTTACAAAAGAGAGAAAAAAAAATTAATTAAATTGTAAATTAAATCATTGATCTCTGTAATTTAAGTGAAGTGTCATTTCAGTTATTGTAATTTTAATTTGAACATTTTGGTCTTTACATTTTAAATTTTGTTACAAGATGATCCCTTCATCAAATGTTGTTAACAATTGAAACAGAAAAAATTAAGTGCAAAATTCGAAAAATCAAAATACTTCTCCTTCAGTTTGGTTCTCTGTTTGTCTCTCCACATACAAGCCGGGGTTGCACGTGAGGGAGGGTGTTACATAGCTTGATATACATTGTTGGGCCCATTTTCTAATAGCTTAGACTTTTGGGAAAATTGGTAACTTGACAATAATTACTGTTTTTTTTTCCTTGTCTTATACCTATGTATATAAGTGTATATTCATGCACGCTAGCCACATCATTCCACTGAACTTGAAAACAAAATTTGCTTATATGTGATATTTTAGATAAATTTGGCAATTGCACATATTGGCCCCACTGGTTTGATAGGAAAAATTTTAAGATTTAGTCTTTGGGTGTTAAAATGACAAAGGTGGTTCAATTGTGTGAGAAATGTCTTTCTATTTCTTTATTGGAGAAGAAATTTCAACTTGGACGCTTGAGGTTGTCTCCAACCTTTTTTTTTTTTTGTAAATAAATGTCAAAAGGCAATAACTTTTAATTGATTGACTTGTATTTAATTAATTCAAACATTTAATTGTTGAGCTTTATGGAATGTAATGTTATTTTATGTTGAATTAATTTGTTTGACTTCTAGTTGAGATTTCTCTTATAATATTTTTGTTCGTGTTCTTAACTAGTAGGGTTTTTATTTTTTAACAACATTATTTTTTAACAACGACTGGAGAGATTGGAGCGGATGTAGTCTATAGAATTCAAGCAGGTGGCTTAAGTGGAGGAGTGCGTCTGGAGTACTGTGCGATAAACAAGTACCCATTAGACTAAAAGGGAAATTCTATAGAACGGTTATTAGACTATCGATGTTGTATGGAATAGAATGTTGGGCAATTAAGAAACAATATGTAGATAAGATGAGTATTGTTGAGATGAGGATGTTAAGGTGAATGTGTGGCAAGACTAGAAAAGACAAAGTTAGGAATGAGTATATTCGAGAATGTGTAGGAGTAGTACTAATAAAAGATAAGTTGAGAGAGAATAGATTGAGATGGTTTGGTCATACACAACGGAGACCAACAGATGCAGTAGTGAAGAGATGCGATACAGTGACGGTAGATGGTAGTGTGCTAGGGGAAAGGGTAGACCTAAATTGACGTGGACTAGTGTAGTAAATAGAGAGATGAACCTCCTTAATTTGACCATTGAAATGGCCTTAGATAGAGTCAAGTGGAGAAGAAGGATTCATGCGGCGGACCACATTTGACGAGACTTAAGGTTTGGTTTGGTTTATTTTGTTTACATGGATTCAAGCTTGTTTATTTTTATTTTTATTGCTAGATATAATGTTGGAGTGTAGATTGTTCACATATTAGTCATCTATTATCAAGAATTCTCAATTAATTTTATAAAAAGTATGTATTGGCTATTTTATTTAATTTTTGGTTCAATTATCCCGTCAACTATATTGCAAGATTCATCTCCTATCCCAAGCAATAGTTAGCTTAAGTTTTTTGTTGACCCTAGTGAAAAAAAATTAAAAAATCCTAGAGATGCCACTACGTGTATCTGTTATAACTTATAAGCTTAACGAGTTCAACAACTAGATATTAATGGGCTTTGCAAATTTGTAGTACTAGAGATTTTGAGATACAAGTACGACCTCCTTCAATTGTATAATGTCCTTTATGCTTGTTATGTCACATAAATGCTAAATCGTTGTTACATAATTTTCGCTCTCGTTGGCTACAGCCGGGAATGGTAACAACTGATCTTCTGTTGTCTGGAGCTTCTACAAAGCAGGTAGAATGTGTATTGCATATTTCCTTGATTTCTTTTGTGAAACTTTTGTTTCAATCAAGTGAAAGCATTTTATTTATTTCAGGCCAAGTTTTTCATTAATGTTTTGGCAGAACCGGCAGAAGTGGTAAGAGTTTATTGATGTGGTGATCTACCTAAGGGAGTGATGTACAAGCAGTGTTTTTAATTCCTTGTTTTTGAGTTTTAGGTGCTTGCTTTGTTTCAATAGTCATCTGAATTCATGATTATGGATTGTGATGTTCGATGAAATAAATCATATGGTTAGGTTTTCCAAATAGGCAAATGCACATACAAGACTTAGAGATGGACCGTTTAGACACAACATTCTAGGCTATGATCAGCTACTGACTGAATTATGTGTGAGTGCTCAAATGAATTTGTGAAGAGATAAAAGAAGAAAAAAAAGAAAACCAGACTTCTGAAGATCATATTCAAATGTGATGTGTAAGTTTTTGACCATATTCATATGCAAACTAGTCCTCTAGATAAGTAGCAAAACATATTAAAGAAACGAACACATATTTGCAAAATATGCATTGAAAATGTTATAATTTATGTATCATTTGGAACAATTATATTCTATTTTATTGCATTTCCTTTTCTTTTTGCAACTTGCTGTGTGCGTGCGCCTGTGTGTTTATGCAAGTGAGGGCATGCATGTAGGTAGCAAAGTACCTCGTCCCAAACATCAGATCTGTCCCTGCCAATGGATTGAGCAAGCCCACTTACATTCGATTCCTTACTGGCTTGAAAGCATACTCTCAGATATTCTCAGTTAAGTGGGAAAAAAAAAATGAAAAGAACTTTTGATTCTTGGTTTTCTATATTTAAGTTGTGGTTATTAATCCTTTGGTTTTTTGGCCGTATTGTATAGAGATTTGCTTTTGGTGCTAGGAGGAATCGATATTTGCTTGAAGATTGATGAGGATCAGAGGTCTAATATATCCATACAACATATTTTCTTTCACATAAAATTTGCTGCTCTCTCTCTCTCTCTCTCTAGCTTTTTTTTGGCTGTGGCATAATTTTTGTTTCTCAAAATACTTTGAATTATATGTACTTAAGGATTGATTTTTCTATGCACTTTTTAATGATTAATATTTTTGTGATGTATATTACTGGTTACTGATGTGCATGTCTTGGATCTTGATAATCAAAATTTCTTAGTTTTTACAAAGCATTTGCATGCAAATGGCACCATACCTAATACCAAAAATCAATTGGACATGGAAAGTAAATTGAGGTGTGTGGTTCATATTTATCTGGAATGTGACTGTCACACCATACCAGAGAAGAATTTGGATCACAAATTTCAGTTTCTGAGTGTGGACAAATTTCATCCCCCGCGTGAACAATACTTTGCACACCACTAATATTAAGACTAGACAGTCCTCTTAAGATCTAATAATACACAAATTTTAAAATGTGAGACACCAAAACAAAGGAGTTTCATGTTATTTGGCGTCATTGTGGCCCCGATCTGTAAAATGCACATAAATAAGTAGAGAGCATCATGCCCAGGAGTTTGCAAAGCAATAAAGTTGTCAGTAAAGATAAAAATATTAACTGACGGATATAAACATACAGGAAAAACTTGTAGTTCCATATAGGTCATTTTTCCTACAGGAAAATCATCAATAAAATACATAAATCAAAATGCACATAGAGGTCATTTTTCTACAGTAAGTTTGCAATCGATACCCTCCAAACATAGAAGTATACTCTGTAACTACCATTTAGAGTTTGTACAATGCACAACAGATTAATTATAAAAATAAAAATAAAAATAAAAAAGCACGAGGAGCTCATTGTTCACACAGTTGTCCTGTAATACCATCCACCCAAATACAAGTTCATTTTTGCTTACTGGTCAAAACTTGCAATCTCCAAAATTGAAACAAAACACGATGACTCAGATCTTCATGGCTATAAAACTCTCCCAAGTTAAACCAAATGTTCCTAATACCTAATACCCAAGTTAGACAAACAGTGAAACTCCCCTTTAGCACTGGCATTTGATGGAGTCAGACAAAAGGACCATTTCCCAAAAAAATGACAATAATTATGAGAAATAGTGGGTTGGCCAATGGAGATCATCTCATTTGGGAGATCCGTCTTGCTTCAATTTCCTGGAGTCTAAGGGTTACTGCTCTTTTGTGGGCTTCGAGCCCCTCAACTTCAGCCATGGCTGCCACATAGGGGCCAAGCTTCATCAAGCCTTCTTCTGTCAATGATTGCACAGTCATGTACTTGAGGAAAGAGTCTAGTGACACGCCACCGTACATTCGTGCATAGCCGTAAGTTGGAAGGACATGGTTTGTCCCACTTGCATAATCCCCTACACTCTCAGGAGTCCACTCCCCTAAAAAAACAGAGCCTGCAAAAGCATATCAACAACTAAATTTATACATTTTTGTTTTATGATGCTGGTAATGAAATGGCTAAGCTGAAAGCAAAAACTCAGATGGGATTAAAAGCTGGGACTTCACTGGTTCTCTCAATCATAAAGGCAGAAACAGCGTCAAAATAAGTATAATATACCATATATGCTTTTGCAGATGATGTTATTATTTTTCCAAATGGTACTAAGAGATCTTTGCAGAATTTGATGCCTTTGTTGAACGAATATGAGAAGCTTTCTGGGAAGATGGTTATAAAGGAGAGGAGTTGTTTTATTCTATCTCTGAAAGCTACAGCTCAAATTATTTCATTAGTTACAGGATTTGATCCAAAATCACTTCCCATTACATATTTGGGATGTCCTTTGTATATCGGCAGGACAAAATGAGCTCTTTTTGATAGCATGGTCGATAAAATTAGACAAAGAGTTGATGGGTGGAAATTTAAACTATATCTACGGGTGGCCATTTGGTTTTACCGAGGCATGTTCTTCAATGTATGCCAATTTTTACGCTTATACCTCTAGATCCTGCCATTCATGTTATCAGGCACAACCAACGTATTTTTTTTGACTTTTTTTGGGAAAGAATCAAATGCACAACGCTCAGTGGGGAACAATGGGCGGGCTTTAGTAGCATTCAGAATATGGAGACAGCTTTTGGTATAAAAACTGTAGTAATCTTTCGGTGACTCTTTTTGGGCTAGATTCAAGGCTGTTTAATATTGCCGGACATCTCATCCTTCGAAAGTAAATGTTTCTGTTTTGCCCTCTCATGTTTAGACGTGCATGCTTTTGGTTAGATATATAGTTGAGGACCAGAGTTTTTGGCATTTGAATTCTGGTCAGTGTAGGTTTTGGTGGAATGGATGGCTCTTTGATGGGCCTTTAACTTCTTTCATTACTTCACCAGCCCAGCTAGAAGGTTTACAGGTTCAGCAAGCTTGAAGTGATGCAGTTAGTTTCCTGGGATGATAATTTTCTGATGCAATTGCTTCCATTCGATCTTTTTCATAAGGTTAAAAAGTTTGGATTTTGTTTAGTCTGCTTCTTGGAAAAAGCTAGTAGGATGCTGTCATTGAATGGGTGCTTTACATTTTCTTCACCTTGGAATCCGTTAGAAAGGTTAAACCTAGGATGTTCTCTTTCTCAAATATTTGGCATGCTAACATTCCTTTAAAGTGCTCGGTTTTTGTGTGAAAATTTTAAATGATATTTTACCGGTTGATGAAGCTATTCAAAGGATGGGTGTTTCTATTGCTTCTCATTGTATTTGTTGTAAAAATCCTCCTGCCACAGGATCTTGTGCTCATTTGTTTTTGTCTAGTGAGTTATCTACTTTTGGCATTCTTTCGGTGTGATTTTTGGTATTAGAGTTGGATCACTGTCTCTTTGCTTGAGGTTGAATGATTGGTGGTTGCCAAGAACTCAGGAAGATGTGAAATTCCTGCATCAGTTTGTGCCATCTTTGATTCGTTGGGAGATTTGGAAGGGCAAAAATAGGGTGCAATTTGATGGATCTGGGTTGGTGGTGCATCAAGTCTATTAATAGACTTTTCTTGCTTAGAGCTACAGTCAAAGTTTCTCATTTATCTGCTAATCTCTCTACAAGATTGATGTTTTGCACGTTCCTCCAGTTATACAGAAAATCTATGGTGCTTGTAGTTCAATGGAAAAAGTCCATGTTTCCATTTGTGAAATTGAATTGTGATGGTTGTAGTAAAAATAAATCCTCCTATGGCTAATGGTGAAGGGATTATTAGAGACGCTAAGCCTGCATACACTTTGTATATCAAATTTCATCTCTATAGCATATGCTGGAAGCTTTGAATTATAGAGTGATTCATTGTTACCAAGAGGCGGACAGTGTTGCAGATGCATTGGCATACTGGGGCATTGTGAACCAAAACAATTTTCTTTTTCCAGATTTCAACCATTTCCCTGTTTTGGTTAAGGGTTTTGTGAATTTAGAGATGATTGGTTCTCCTGATATTAGAGTTAGGTAATTTCATTCTTCCTTCGTGCATTCGTATTTTTCTTGTGTGTAGAAATTTAATGTATAAAGAGAAATAGAGAATTGTATTATTGATTGATTTATATTGATTGATATGTTGATATTTATTACAATGATTCATGATTCCTATATATAGAAGAGGGTGAGTGTGTAGTAGGTAAGGAGTAGGTGAAGTGGAGGTGGTAGTGGTGTAGTGGGTTAGGTTTAGTGGAGTAGGTGAGGTGGTAGTGGTGTAGTGGGTTAGGTTTAGTGGAGTAGGTTTAAGTGGTGTAGTGGGTTAGGTTTAGTGGAGTAGGTGAGGTGGTAGTGGTGTAGTGGGTTAGGTTTAGTGGAGTAGGTTTAAGTGGGTGAAGTAGGTGATAGGTTTTAACATTGTGCTAGTCTGACAGGTAAGGTTCATTGATATGAACCTTCTTATATAACAAATGAAAAATAGAAAGAGGGGAAAATCCTACTTCGCGGAGGGAGGGCCTCTTTTTTGGTTAACCAAACTTCCATAACTTTAGAAGTCAACATAATATTCAGCATAACTTCACAAGAACAATATCTTTTTTGGGCAAGTACAAGAACAATATCATCACTTGAAAACTTTTTGTGTTTGACTCAGAGACACCTTGTTGTAAAGTCATTGCCAAGAATCAATCACCAGTGATTTGATTTTGATTTTGATTTTGATTTCGATTTCGATTTAGATTTTGAAAACTCTCATCGACTTCACAAACTTTGATGTTGCCTATTTGGTATAGCTTAGCATTTGTCACTCTCCTGCATTTCTTTGAAAATTATTTCTTGGCCTGTAAGTAAAGAACTAACCAATGTCTCTAAACAATTTAAGTGTTGTTCGTTCCTCCATGACTGGCTCTTATACCAATTGAAATAAAAATATAAGAGAAAAAAATATCACTTCGATTGGGATGACCTCCTGTTGGGTCAATTTGAAGAAAACCAAACCTACATGACTTCCCAAGAAGGTTATTTTATTTTTTTATTTTTTAATTTTTGGTACCCATTCTTCCCAAGAAGTTAATTCATACTATTGAACATATTTCTTTGTTGATTGATAACTTATTTATATACAAGAAATAAAGATTACAAACTATACCCAAGAGACCCACTACCACTACAACCCTATAAACCTATCTATTAAGCCTAAATAGATAATTCCAACTTAAAAACAAAGTTAAATCTAAAACAATTGCGATGGTAACATTCATTATGTCCCCTTCTCTTTCTGTACCTCTTTTCTTGGTTATTAGTAAAATTTCCCCCATGCCCCAAAGGTTTTCTTTAAAGAAACATTGGTATATATAATGAAAAAGCCTGTCACTAATAGATTAGGGGAAAAACTTATAATTATAGTCAAATCGAGAATCCTAATTTTGCAAATTGTGAATTGAATCATATACAAAATCTTAAGATTTGCCAAAAACAATAAGAAAAGAATATGTTAAACGATCATATATATGAATAAATAAAATAAATTGATTTTGACAGATGTTATACAATAGTTTTAATATAAGAACATGATTACACCATTGAGAAGACAGCCTTCATAGCAAGAGATGTGGGTCCAAATCTCACCAACCTTAAAATTAATTTGTAACCATCATATATTTTCCTTACAATAAAACGTTGGACCAAGAAACTATAAAAAGTGTAGAATAAAAAGAAAGTGTAAATGGGACTCCTTAATGCAGTAAAACCTAGAGAGAGAAATTGAGGAAGATAGAGACGGTTGAAGGTTAGGGAAAAGGAAATTTTGTCCCAAAAATACAAGATTCAATCTGTTTGATATTATTTTTACCCTTTTCATGTGTGGGGATTACCATAAAGCTTGCACCGATTTACAATTAGTTTTCCCATTTCCCATTTATCTAATATATATTTTTTATTAAAAGTTTTTTTTTTTTGGTGGGTAATTTTTATTTTATTTTTTTAATTAAAAGTTGAAACACTTTAAAAGGTGTGTATACTTATTATTCAAAAAAAGTAGTGGAACCATTAGGTCTGACTTAACTGACATATGTCATGTTAAACCATGTTTATTTCGCCAAAATAATGATATAACTCATAATTGCAAGTTAATTTGGCCTCAAACATCCTTAGAAATTATTTGACCCTCTTTGCAAGACGACACCACGAAAAAATAAAAAAAGAATGTTAAGAAAATGTTGATTCTGCTTGGATTTGACTAGATTATATTAACTCTTTGATCAGGAAAATAACAACTCATACGAAGATTTTCATAATTTTAAATTCAAACACTCTAGAAGTTGGATTATGAAATTTTCACCAAAAAGATGTAAAAATGGTCGGAATCTGTTGAACTAATAGTTTCAACAATTACATGAATCGTAATAATTGAATCAAATTGTGAATTGTGCAATTCATTAACAACTATAACTCAAAGATGGATCGTAATACCCACATGGATCTATTCAAGAATTGTGAATCAAATCATGAATTGTAAATTTCTGGCAACATAGATAATAATATTAAAAAGAAAAAAGAAAATTACTTGAATGGTAATTTTATTTTTTTTTTCAAAATTTACGTGTTTTCATATATAAATACAACAATGAGAAGTTGAAAAACACCCATTATTTTCATTTTTGTGCAAACACCAATTTTTGAAAATTCACAAAATAATTTAAAGGTGTTTCCTAAAAAAGAGGGGTTTTTAGAAAGCTAAGCTGAAAACAGTTCTCCAATGCCAAATAAGTTTTTTGTATCATTTTATTTATTTATTTATTTTTAGGAGAACATAAATTATAAAGGCCTTGTTTGGGAAGAGAATTAGGCTAAAATAGCCTATTAAAAGACAAAATAGGCTAAAATAGCCAATAAGACAAAATGTCACATCCAATCCATAATCATTTCACTTTTTCTCTCACAACCATCAAATCAACTACAAAAAAAAGCCAATCAACTTCCCAAACACAACTTTTTTCGCCAGGCTAAAATAGCCAAATAGCCAACTAAAATAGCTAATTTCCCAAACAAGGCCAAAATGAAAACAAAACCAAATGCGCCAAGTGTATAACGTAGAGTGATAATTCAAAGCAACAACACAAATTAATAACGCTTGTTAAAATGCTTATGGCAAAATGGTTTAAGAAAATATAACTATACAAAATACAAATAATAAAAAAAAGCACAAGAAGCACTATACCTGCATTCTCAATGAAACTCTCCCATTTCTCTGCATCTCGCACATTAATAATCAGATGCTCTGGGGCATATAAGTTGGAAAAGGAGATCGCCTAAAAGTCACAATGAACAAATTTAGCTACAAGAGTCAATGGGACAAAACTTCCCGCGTTATAGAAAGAAGAATAATACACGAAAATGCAACAAACTAACAAGATCACCGTATAGACACGTTTAAAGTGTAGCATGACGGCATAGACTATTCCCTTTGCTTCTTCTTTTTTATCGGCGTAAGTCAGTGGTTAGTTATTAGATTAGCACTTGGGGGAAGTTGAACTCCTACCCTCTCCTTGCACGTACTTAAGTCTTGCCCCCCATTCCACCCCTAAGAGTGGAACCCAAGACCTCTCTCTCCTTAGGAGAGACTTGGTGGCCAAAGGGTAAGCCACTTAGGCTCCAATCCCTTGGTTGCATGGACTATTCGCTGATGCATCTTATTAACACTAACTAAATTTTGCCTCACGCTTTCCATATTATATCTCCATGTTTCTTATGTCCCACTGATAATTTTGACCTTGCTGTTTATAGTAACTTGTGAAGGATAAGCTTCCAATCATGGTAGTTAGAGTTGCTATGTATGTAATAATTTGGAATGATAAGCATGCAATTAAAAAAAATTCTCGCGTAAGCAAGTTGAAGTAAGCAGATGACTACTTCATATAGGGAAGTTAATGTGACAACAACAAGAATAAGAAGGCTAACCTCAACCATATCGCGAGCAAAAACAGTGAAACTGTGACCCAGTGCTTTTGAAGCAAACTCACCCCTTGGAAGGCTTTTGCACTGCTTGCTGATTTCCTCCTCAATAGCCCTTATATCCACACCATCCCCAGCAATTACAAGAACAACTTGACTATCAGGGCCATGCTCAGCCTGAAAATCATGAATGATTACTTGAGAGAACAAGTAAGAAACAAGCTGGGATGGAGGTTGTTTTGGTAAACAATAGCAATGATGTGAAGATGCAAGCACATATTTTCAACACAAATTAATGGGGAATAAAAAAAAATCCAAGAATCTGAAGTAGTTTTCCTTAATTTATTATTGAGGATTAAATTTGGTTGCTTTATTTTCTAGCTTATGATGTGGAATTATCCACATCCACTTAACTGTCACATGCTAGTCATACAACTACTCAAGTGCCATGACAGGTGGACCTATTGTAATGACACCTTAGCAAGGGGATGCTTAGGTTGGACTGTAGATTAGAATCCTATAAATACCCAACTTAGTGATGGGTGGGGTCTTTTGGCTGAATAAAAAAATATAAGGTGGTTGCACTATCTTTTCCTCACTACTGATTTCTTCTTCCTCACGGCTTCCCTGCCTCTTTTCTCAGCTTCTTCGTCTTCTTTTCTCTGTTTCTGCTTCCACTTCTCTTACATCTTCTACTCATCTCTCAGATTGCCCAGCTTCTTCTCCCCAACTTCCACCGTTGTGGCAATTGATGGTTTGAAGGATTCTCAGGGATGTTTGTTGCTTCAGTACTTATTGAAGGACTGCATTAGAATCCATGTCCACTGGTTTCAAGAAAAAGTTCATCACATCTTTAAGTCCTATCCATGACTATTGGCCAGTATCTAGCAACCTCAAAAATACCTATGACAAAGTCACAGAAATAAAAAAGCTTCACAATAAACTGCAATAATAACAACTTCAAAGATACACCATTTGAAATACAGAACTCGAATTTTAAAACAGTTTTTAGTTTTCTTTTTTCCTCTAATATAGAGCTATGAAAACTTCACCAATGGACCTGAATACCAATTGATAATGAGCAACACCCTCACGCCTGTTAAAGCAACAACACAAGACCCCCAGGGGGTTAGATTTTGAATATCGCTAGACTTCTTCAAATTTTCCTAAACCATAGGCATTATCAACCAGAGTGAACTGGCTGAAGTTCAATAGCATTCACCAGAAAGTGAATGTTACAGCAAAATTATATTCCAGATGTTAAAAACAGAAAATTCAAAGAAACTGATTCACCCATTAAATTATTTATCACAAACTAAAGCAAAAATTTCAGACATCAGCAAACACCTGGGAAAGCAAATCCGATGCTATATGAATGGGATTGGCATGTTTGTCAGCAATGACAAGAACTTCTGATGGTCCGGCAGGCATGTCAATGGAAATCATAGCCTCACTGTTCTGTCAAGAAAGCAAAAAAAGAAACCATTGAGTCAAGAATAAAAAAGAACCAGTTTAGGTTTACTGAAGTGAACTTATTAATATAAAAATGCAGTCATAAACAAACAAATTCTAAGAGTCATATATAAGAAAAATAATGCATACTTGGAGAATCATTTTAGCAGCGGTGACATACTGATTTCCAGGCCCAAATATCTTCTCAACCTGCAGATTATGACAAATTAATACTAGTAAAGGAGTTGTAGATATATATCTCATGTATGAAGGAACCAAAAAACAAAAGCTCATGAATAAAAAGTTATTATGCCTTTCTCCATTTGAAAAAACAAAAAAACTTCTCTCCTCTCCAAAAAAAAAATAAAAATAGCATGTCAATGGAAATCATAGCCTCACTGTTCTGTCGAGAAAGCAAAAAAAGAAACCATTGAGTCAAGAATAAAAAAGAACCAGTTTAGGTTTACTGAAGTGAACTTATTAATATAAAAATGCAGTCATAAACAAACAAATTCCAAAGTCATATATAAGAAAAATAATGCATACTTGGAGAATCATTTTAGCAGCGGTGACATACTGATTTCCAGGCCCAAATATCTTCTCAACCTGCAGACTATGCCAAATTAATACTAGTAAAGGAGTTGTAGATATATATCTCATGTATGAAGGAACCAAAAAACAAAAGCTCATGAATAAAAAGTTATTATGTCTTTCTCCATTTGAAAAAACAAAAAAACTTCTCTCCTCTCCAAAAAAAAAATAAAAATAAATAAACTTTGATTAAGTTCCGTATACATTATATTGCGAGCTCAAAGCATGCAAATGCAAGCTGACGAGAAACTAAAGGCTGCTTCTAAAACACTTCAAAAGAAGCACACACTTTCCAATCTAAGAACTACATGACCAGTCATATAATAGTTCAAAAGAAGCACACACTTTCCAATCTAAGAACTACATGACCAGTCATATAATAGATGAATACCCATATTGGCATCCCCAAATTTTATCTACAAACCTTGTCTTTTATCCTATGAAGCATGGATTCTTTTAGAAGGGAGCAATACAGATAGTCATTGGACATTCGTGGATATCCAATACTTCCTAAACATATCCATAATTTTCTTTAATTTTGAGAAGTATCGGATACTTTTCAGATACTCCAGGTCACGTATTTGAACTATTATGAAAATGATCTTGTAATAATTCTTGGATAGGCATTAGAGTAGAATTCTTAGGATAGAATACAAGAAAAGTTTTTTTTAATACTTTGCGTACTTCTTAGAGTAGAAGAAAACATTGAGATTAGAATAGTACCCTGGTTTTTTTAGAATATCAAATTGACGTGTCCTTAATGTGTCATACTTGTTTTCCATATTTGTATGCACACAATATATAAAGTAAGGACAAATAAGAAAATATAATGATACTAAGATCAAATTTCAACAATTAAATAAGTAAAATTGCGTAAAATAATTTTGCTTATAACACTTTTAAGTGTGAAAAGGAAAAGCACAGGAGCAATATAAACAGTAGAAATGAAATGAAACTAAACAAGCTGATAACACCCAGATAACAAACAGAAGAATGAAGTTATGCTACAGCCTCCAAAGCAGAAAACCCTCTTTTTTAGGACAAGCCTAAGATTTGAGAGATTATTATGTGGAAGTAGGTACCTTGGGGCAAGATGTAGTCCCCCAAGCCATGGCAGAAATAGCCTGCAAAGGTTACGACATGTCAAAACTCCCCAGAACAAAAACTTCAACATAAAATAACACGGGAACTCATAGTGTCCAAAATCGCAACATAAGTGATCCAGTAGGTCTGATTTACAACCTGAGCTCCTCCAGCTTTAAGAATGTGAGTCACACCAGCTTTCTTAGCACAATAAAGTACTTCCTGCAAAAAGGCAAACATTAGCTCTAGGTAGGTGATTTTCAGCAGGTACAGCTACACAGCCTTGCCACATGCCTATGCCATGTCATCGCCTCATCAGCCACCTCAGAGGTCGGACCCAAAGACATGTGGTCCATGCGTACAGCCCCACAACCAAAGGACAGCAGTGTAGAGACAGTGTCATATCACCTGTGGGTAAGGCATGCTTGCCCCTCAGCTGAATGCGCACCCTCATCCGCAAAATACCAGTTCAGCTCACTATGGCTCACCTACATGACCTCTGCTGAGTGGAACTCCAAGCCTTGGAAACGTCATGGTATCTAAGCTAAGAGTAAGGCCTAGGAACACAGCTCATGATCGCTAGAAGATATGTAGTTTGGAGGTTGGAGTTGAGGGCTTGTTAGGGTAAAGCGGCAACCTTCCCGTGGGATGTTGCCCAGACCTTGACCAATCTTACAGAGAGTATCAAATATAAGAAACTGAGATTGTTGACCAAGAGTCTGCACCTCAAAGAGTGTATCATACCTGAGACTAAGGCTCTCCTTCTACAATTCCTGAAATTTAACATACCTATCTCCTCATATCCCATGATACAACCCCCACGGTCTGATCATGGAGGAGGTGCTTGAGAATCCTCCGACTTGTCAAAGCAAGGCGGTTGAGCCACCTATCCCTGAGCCTTGAAGTTGCGCTTGGCTTAGCTAGCTTCCCCTTGGCTCAGACTCTCCTATATAAGGAGATCTCCATGCACACAGAAAGGCATGCAATCATCAACCTCTTTATCTGGTTGATCTCAAGATCCTCCACTGGGTCTCTCTCTTTTCTCTCTCCTAGGTTGCCTCACCTCTCACCTCCCCCACCTCTGGTGGTCTCTAGCCATCTCAATGCCTACCATCTTCCCAGAAGGTTCCTCATTAACCACCTCACCATCCATTCGTCCACAATATCATTATAGGATATCACATCATGGTAAAACAAATACCTTGCAGATGCTTCCATCCCGAGTAGGGGGAGTTGCAAGAACAACAGTTTTACACCCAGCAATCTGTGCAGGCTGGAATACAGAATAAACTAAATGTCAACCAAATCTGATGAGCTCGGCATCAACAATGAAAACCAACAAAACCATCTGATGAATTAGCAAAGCAATCTGATGAAATTTAATTGACATACAATTGCAAGCATCAGAGCTGTTGAAGGTAAAACTGCAGTTCCCCCTGGCACATAAAGACCTACAGAAGCAATGCTCCTTGCCACACGTTTGCATCTAACACCCTGACAGCGAACACGGAAGTTCTCTTGTAAACAAAATATTCTACAATATAAGAATGATTTAGTGTTATATTGCTTACTTTCATGTTTTCAACACTTCTCTCAGCTGACTTTTGTGCAACGTGAAATGCATAGATGTTTTGATAAGCCACATCAAATGCTTCTCTAATAGCTGCATCAAGCTGGATTAAGGAAACATATATAAGCATATGTTAGTGCCAGAATTAGCAAACTAAACCCACTGAAGTCACAATTTGCATACCAAAGATTCAGGCAATTCTTTTAAACAAATGGAAATGGTATAAATCAAGAACCCAAGCAGTACAAGCTGAAGCCTAAGGAATTTTCAATGTAGCCTGGAATCCAACTCAAGAAACGAAAGTACTGAGATCAAGTCATCCCGCCTTAGGGCCACCCTCAGGGATTAATCCCAGCAATTGAGCCGTGCAAGTGGGATTCGGACTGTACATGTCTGGAGACCAATCCAGTGCTCAAAGGGTCACTAAAACCTTAGTAAGGGTAGTCCCCCAAGCCATGGCAAGAGAGAGAGAGAGAGAGAGAGAGAAGTCGGAAAAACCTGCGTTTTACGGAGAATTCTATCTTGTTCAAAAGGACATATTTCATATTCAAAAGAATGCTCAAAATATAGAAATAACTACCTCTGGATCTGGAAGTTCAACCACAGTTTCAACTATCTTGTCTAATTCAACTTTGTCAAACTTTGCAGTATAGCTGCCAAAAGAACATTAATGTATCTCAGTAGGAACCTTACTACTAGAGGAACTCAGTGTTGAAACAAAATTCAATTCCATAAGTCTTTATTAATGAGAAAACAAGTCTCTAAACTACAATATAGAAGAAGCACCAACTCTTTAACAGCAGCATCACCTCTGCACCTGACATCATCAACAATGGGATTCACCTGATGCAGTATCAACACCACAGTCCAGCAGACGTTTAATAAGTCAGGTCAAAAAGATCAAAGCAGCAAACAAAGGAACATCTTTTGAACCTCTTTACCAGATTGAAAATGGATGAGAAATCAATACGAGGCCGAGCCTTGAGGCTATCAACCTCAGCCTGAGTAAGCTCTGATAGCCTATAAGATTTCATTGAACATCTTATAGTATTATGAGATGATCCTGCAACACAGAAGAGGGGGGTATATATCACACCATCAGTCATATTCAAAACCTATACAGCTCAAAACGTAGTCAAGCACTATAGGTTGAGTCACTTCATAGACATATTTACACACAAATCACTTGAAAAGGATTTTGCAGCTCATACACCCAGTGCAAACCTTCTTAGTAGATCAGGACCAGCTATTTGAAAAATACAATGCTAAAGAAAACACTACTTATAAGAGCAATGCTAATTAATAAAATCAAATACCAAAAAAGTTAAGCATAGAAAAAATGAGAATGTTGGATAAAAGATTGTTTAGAAAAGGAGATCTAGAATAAAATAAGAAATGATAACATCCATGAGAAGCTAGTAGTAACACAACATAAAGACAAAATGAGGGAGTCGTCAGAGATGGTTTAGTCAAGTGCAAAGAAGACCATTGACTGCCATTGTGGTGTGTGAAGTACAAAGGAAATAAAGAACCTAAAAAGACTCTGACAGCCATTCCCTTATGTTCATTATATAATTATTCATGAAAAATTGAATCATCATTAGCGAGGGTCACTAAACTGAAGGGGGACAATAATATACCTGCTCGCAAGTTTGAAAACCTATGTTGCATATATCTTTGGCCACCAATTATTTGAAGGTGACGAGTCTGGTGGTGGTATGACTTACATAAGTACTTGGTCCAGTTAACAGAAAATAGTTGACAGTCCATCAGCACCTTCAATAATATCGAAGATAGATGAGTTTTTAGAGCTACAACTAAAAAATCAAGGCAAGTCTACATGATAGAACAAAAATCTACAAATACAACGTAGAAAATAAACAACAACTAAATGTTAGATGGTGACATAAAAATCCAGGCAACTATAAATGATAGCACTAAAAACCTACAAATACAAAATAAAATATAAACCAATTAATTATTAGGCAGCACCTTTACTACTAGCGAGCATTTCTGCGATCCAATTTATTTCAAGAATCTTTACTTTCAACATCTAAAGAAGAAAAGCTCAACAAGTATTCAGCTTGAGATTACTGGGATAGGAGGCCAATCCCATTTCAAGGTCTCAATAAAAATACCTTTGAAGTACAATAATTTTTTGAAACCAAAAGTAACAATGAAAATAATAATACATAAAGGGGAGAAAATCAAGGAAGAGGAAATGATGGAACCAATTTAGGAAAGACATTTCATTAGAGAGAGAAAATCCCAAAAATGGATACAAGAGCTCTAAGCTCTAAAATATTCAATATCAAAATATCATAAACAGAATACTAGAAAGACCTAATCACCTATTTATAGGATAAAAGACCTAACTAACTCTAACTAACTCTTATAGTACTAAAACATAACAACCATACTAATTTTAACTACATCAGACTTCCTCTCTAAAGAAAATAACTTGTCCTCAAGTTGGGACTACATCAAAATGACTCAAGACAACGACATCAACATCAACAAATGACTCAAAACAATGACTCATGGAAGCATAATAGACATGCAACAGCGAACAAGACTAAATAGTTGCACATCCTTATTCAAGATCATCCTAGCAAATATCCTTCCATTAAAACAAGTTCTCATTTATGCACCTCAACTGAAGCCATGTTGAGGTGTGAATAGGCCACCCATGTAGCATGCCGTTTTGGAAGCAAAATATCATCAAAATAACACTTCTCGCATGGCCTAAGAATAAACTCATCCTTCTTCCACGAAGTTGGACCGGGTACTAAATCAACACACAAATGTCTTTAAAGATAGCATAAGAGGCATTTCTTGGAAGCAAAGATCATCCAACACCCATGAAACTTCAAATTTATGACTCTCCACCACAACTTCCTTGGAATCTAGAAAGGCATAGAAGGTGGGATTGCAACCACTTCATGGGAAGCAATGTAAGAGCAAAACTTGCTTCATTTACAAAACTTTCATCATCTTCAAGGACACTTTCACTCTCTACAAGGTCATCTGCATCATCATAGTGGTCAAGGATTGGGATGCTTCCATATTCACAGTCATTAACTTCCTCTTCATATTTATGAACATTGACTTCATCATAATCCAACACCCCACTCATTGATTCATCCAATATGAAAACATCATCATACCCTTGTTCCTCATCAAAGCTACGAACATCTTGATCACAATATTGTGTTTGATTATAATCTTCTTCCACATCTTCTCCACGAAAGATGGAAGCTTCAACATCAAAGATCGGAACAACCGTATCACAATCTTGCCCTTGATCACTACTTTCTTCCACATCTTCTTCATCATAGCTTGGTTGAATCACCTCGTCACTAAAGAGCATCTTATGATTGCGTCTATCATCAAAAGTAGCTTTCCTTCCAACATTAGTTGAGTAACTGGCTCGGAAGGATAGGTGTCCGATTGCAAAACCGCTTGGGTAGTTTGGATATGAAATGGATAATATATGCTTTTCTAATTGCTTGTTTTAGATTACAACACATGTTAGAAAATTTGCATGTATGATTCAATGCCATGATCATTTGAGAAAAAAGCATGATTTTATATTGCACTATATGTTTTGGAGAATATGAGAAATATTATGTTATACTTGTGGGTATGGAAATATTAATTGAAAATCCCTTGTGTAGGATGTTTAGTTGAAAATGTGAGATTTTGGGAAATATCAAGTTGGATAGAGAAATATAGATTTTGAAATGTAGTTTGGGCCATTGAGCATCCACGTTGAAATTGAGAATATTGTAATGAGAAACGTGTATTTTGAGAAAATGGGTGAGCCTTGAAATGGTTTTGTGAAATTGGAATAACCTTAAAATGGTTTTGAGAATTGAACCTTGAGTACAACATTCTGGGTTAGTGCATTGTGAGCAAGTTGGGATAAATATGCTCCTCAATGAAAGCCTAGAAAGTTGTCAGAAGTACATACTAAATGTCCTTTGGGTTAGTAGCTTGAGAAGTGGGGTTAGGCAACAACGTAAAAATCATTGAAATGGAAGTGGACAATGATGTGTGCCAAGTTGAAAATTAGAGCCTTGAGCTCATGTTTGTGAAAATGGAACTAAGGCCAAGTTTGGCTATCCTAAATAAGTACACACTTTTTATCTTTTTATCTTTTTTCCATCACATCATCTCTCTACTTTTCTGCACATCTTTTCGTAAAAAGACAAAAAGTGCACTTATTTAGGTCATCCCAAACAACCCCTAAAAATGAGATTTAATAAAAGCATGGCTTGTAACTTAAATTGGTTTTGTAAAAATTAATTGCATTAGTAAAATCATTTTCAGTATATATATTATATTACACATGATCATAGACCTTAGGATTGCATATTGAGCATGTTAGTCGTACACTTCTACTAGGCTATATGCTCACTCCATTGATATTTTCAGGTGTTGCTGAACATCTAAAGCCTTGAGGTGGCACAAGATCTTTTGTGATTTTATGTGTGGCCGCAGAGCCATTTGTTTTTTTAAGGCCATGGGCCTCTTTTCGTGATGTAAGGCCATTGAGCCATTTGTAGTTGAAGGCTAAGGACCTCTTAGTTTGTAAGCCTTTTAGTTTTAGAGCATAATTGATAAATTTCACGTATAGAACTCACATATACACATGTTTATTTTGATATAATGAATGAGATATAGAGTTATGGAAATGTGATTTCAATAGTGAACATGACTATGAGAATGTATGAAATGAGAAATGGAAATGGATTTAGGATTGTATGTTAGAGTTAATCAATGGCATGCTTTTAATTATTTGTAGTTAGAATCGCATATCATTGGGTGGTTGTTAGTCGGAGTGACTCTTGTTGCGTTTCAGACAAGTTGAGAGCTTCTTTGTTATATGCATTAACTTATTGACTAAGACTGCTTGAGCAATTGTCGAGCGGTCATTGTGACCTAAGCAAACATACTGGAACCTTGGTTTTAGAGCTTGAACGATCCCTTGTTCACTCAAACAGTCTTTCTCTTCATCCAATTAGAGATGCTACAAGTTTGTTTTCATAGATCAAGCGGGGATCAGTCCGCTTAAACGATTGACTCATTTTGAACAAATTTGTTGACTTTTCAACCTTTGACCCTTTGACCCTTTGGCTTGGTCAACCCCTTTGGAATTTTTTTTACAATTCTTAGGCTACATTGACCTTTGAAGCATCCTTACTCCTTTGAGCCATCCTTATCATGGCCTCGGGTCACGCATGACATACTAGTCTCATGTTTGACAACTCCATCTATCACAACACTCTCCACACAAGCTTGTATAAGTTGCTAATTATTTGTTCAATCAAGAAAATGTCGTCAAATAGACTCCACATCCACTTGCTACTAAAATCTTATATAGGTTGTTAATCATCTGTTCAATTAGGAAAATTTTGCTTGATTGACTTTGCCTGCAATTAAACCCAAGGTGCATCCGTCGAAGACATGTCTTTTACCACTGATTGAACCAGATTGCCGATCACCCTTGATCTCCTACAATCAAACTTGGTCACCTTGATCAATCCTGATCTCCACAATCTATTTAATCTCGTCAAAACATTCAGAATCTGAAAATCATGAACCTACGGGTGAAATCCCAACGCTTGAAAACCCTAGGGAAAGCCCTTGCCTTGAATCTTTTTGCTACATGTATGCTGATCTAACAGAAAGAAATTACGGTTCGTCAATCTCTACTTGCATCACACATTCTTGTAACAATGAATCATGAATCGTAACTCAAAGTAATCTTTCAAACCAGTGACAACCTCCAAATCACTTTTCTTTGCTTCGAACTCTGTGCACAATGGAAAGAATTTAAGCATTGAACCTTACCTTGATTGCCATGCAACACAATATAAATTGGTCCTTTCCTTTCTCTCAGTCAAACATGTTGCCTCCACCATATTTTTCTAGCAATTAAAATCACAACTCTGTTTATTTCCTTATTCTGAGATCAAACGACGCAATCATTTTTCTATTTTCTATGCAAAACAACTTTCTTGATCGATGCCATGACCTCAGATTGGCTACCATAGTTTCAAATCAACTATCATGGCTACGTTAGAAATTTTACATCCCACAAATGTGAACAAAAGCACACCTATGCATAGACCAAAGAGAAAAAAAACACCAAATTTTACATGGTTCTACCAAAGCCTATCTACATCCATGAGCAGTGTTTTTACAGGCTCAAGACACACCACGGCACGGAAGGTCTCTTGGGGCCTAGGCGCAAAGCGAGGTCCGGGCTTTATTGAAGCAAGGTGCACATACTTGGTAAAAAATAGATAAATTAACTTAGACTAATGAGCAGGTTAGTACTAAGACAATTTTTAAAAAATATATATAAAAAAGTAACTAAGACAAATTATAGAATAATTCTCAAAGCTGAAAGTGCATATTACATACCATTTCAATTTTCAAAGATAAAATAAGAAGAAGACAACCGAAGAAGCAAAAAAAACAGCGAAGAGAAGAAGAAGAAGAAGGAATCGAAGTCGAAGTCGAAGAAGAAGAAGAAGGAATCGAAATCGTAGTCGAAGTCGAAGAAGAAGAAGGAATCGAAGTCGAAGTCGAAGAAGAAGAGGAAGAACTCACCTCAAAACGGAGCGGAAGTCGGAAGTCGGAAGTCGGAAGTCGGAAGTCGGAAGTCGGAAGTCGGAAGTCGAAGTCAAGACGAACTGAAGGGACGAGTCGAACACACCTCAAGATTTCTTAGATTAGGGATTTCACTCGGATGCAAGCGGGGTTGAAGCCCAACCCAACCCACGTTGGGTTGAGAGGTCCGTCCAATCCCGAATCGTAACTGAGCTGATTTTTGAATTACCTGAATTGCACATAATTTTAATTTTTTTATTACAACTAAATTAATTAATTTGTTAAAATTATATTATTTATAAAAAAAAATTAAAAAATCACTAATAATATTAAAATAAATAATTTATATAATATAAGAGAGATGTCATTATGATGGTTTTATAATTTATGAGTGAGAAAAAATAAATAAATAAAATTTTATATTGTATTGAAGTGAGATAAAAAATTAACTAAGTCTTGGTGTTCGACCTAAAGCCAAACCTACACTAGTAAAGGAGCTAAAAGCTCGGTCCATCGACCAAACACTTGCTCCAAGGCAAGGCAATCAAAATAGCTCGACCTAATGCTAGGCCCAATCTGTAACGCTCCGAAATCAAAGACAATAAACCATCTATAATATTAATAAATGACGACGATATATAAGTATAGTCTTTCTGAAATAAGTATCCTTCCATTTCATATGATTCTGTGATACAAAAGGTAGTACATGCAGTTATACATTCACAAGTTCTAATCGTGAATCTATAGCATATGTTACAAGTTAAAGATATGGAATAAGAGTTAAAATAGGTTAGAAATGTCCTAAAGGCTTATAACTTTTCAAGACAATACTCGGTTACAACAAAAGTGAGTCTTAGACTCAATATAGGTAAACCCTAAGCTTATACAAAAATAATTACAACAAGAAAAAAAAATGAAGCTCTTACTTAAAGTCCTCCCAAGTTATTGCCTTAGCAGAGGCATATCATCAACACCTGAAAATGATTTTCCCACATAGGGTGAGCCAAAGACCAGTAGAAATAATCCAACATAGTATATGAATCTTGACAGAGTTATAAGGTGAATGCATATGCAATGCTCGTGCTAAAACATTTTCATTTCTCTTTCCAAAACCGTGGAATGCCAAGTGTATATCTCAAATTATGATGTCATTTCCTTTACAATAGAAAACAGGGCAATGAATACAATGCTGTGAATATCTAGGACGTGCCTGCAAGTAAGCTACAAGCACTACCAATTTGTCATTTTTACCGGTATTAACCGGAAGGCTCGACACCTAACCGCACGAGTTTTTGGTTTTTCACCAAGGACACATATACTAACTTAATACCACACTACACTCCTATCCAGATTCACCAAGTTATATACCCATTTTTCTCAAAACAACAACATTTTCAAATGTGTTAAACGTGCAATAATGCTCAATGCCATAGATGAGAAAATAGTTTCAATTCTTCTAATTCTCATGCAATTTCTACAACAATCATAACTATCCTCCACCGATAGTCCAAAACAAATATCTCTAAACAGATAATTAATTTTCATAAAGATAAACTTTTCAAATTCCAAGATGTGAATGGTAATACATACCCAACTCCACCATCCTTATCAATATCAATCCAATTTCACATTTCCAACATCAATTCCGTTTATTTATACAAAATCAACATTTGATATATTTAGGGCAAAATTCCCCTTTCTTCCAAAATCAATTCCAAGTATCAAAACCAACCATCTTATCACAACTCAACCTCGTTAATTTCTAATTCTACAACAATTTTCAAGAATCCATTTGAAAACACCTTTTTTGATTTTTAACTCAAAACCCTAGATTTGTCTAAAAATCTCCAAATCACAATATTGTTTTAGAAATTGCAAATAACTAAGTTAAAAATCATAAGTGTGGAGAATCCTTACCTCAAATCTAGAAGACCAAGGAGAGAGAGAAGAAACCACAATGAAGCCGAAATCCAACTTTGCACCGATTAGAACGAAGCCCTCGTCGTACTCTACCTTTTTATCGGAGGGACATGGGTGAAGAAATCAATGGATCTAGGTGTATTTGTAGAGAGAATGTGAGTTTTAGAGAGAGAGTGAAAGAAAATAGGGTTTTGAAATGTTTAAAGATGAAAAAGTGACTAAAAAATGTGACTTTACGATTTGATATACACGCAGACTACTCGAGCGCAAGAAGTGTCGTTCGAGCTACCAGACACAATAAGTAAGACTGCTCGAGCGAAGAAGTTTACCGCTCAAGCGAAGAATATAAACTCCCAGAAGTTTTACAGACAGAGGACCTAGGGGTGCAACTCGGGCGAGTTCGGTCGGGTTGAGATGTTGTCCAAGCCCAGCCCAAGTTGTGCTCAGATCTGCCCAGGCCCGCCCAAGCCCGAATTGTAACCCGAGGTTGCTTGCCCAAGCCCGACCCGAGTTAAACCCAAATTGCCTAAGTTGTCCGAATTGCATTTTTTTTTTTGCAGCTACATTATTAAATTATTAAAATTTGACTTTATTTACATTTTTTTTATATATATAGAAAATCATTAATATCATCAAAACAAATAATTTATATAATGTAAGAGAGATGCCGCTATAGTAGTCTTTACAATTTATGAGTGAATAAAAAAAATTAAGATTTTATGTTATTTGTATATATAATATATATTCAATATGATTTAATAATCTAAATTATTTTAATATCATATAATAGCTAATAATTTATATATATTTAATATTTTTATATATCTCTATATATATAATTCGGGTTTCGGGTTGTTTGATGTCTTTGCCCAAGCCCGTCCAAATTTAATTCGGGCTTCTGAATTTTTTCTCAAACCCGTACTGAATTTGAAATTTTCTTGTCCAAGCCCTAAAAAAATTCAGACTAGATTCGGGTTACTCGGGTTGAACCCGCCCAAGTTGCACCCCTAAGAGGACCATCAATCGAGTTCAAGAAGTCTCGTTCAGACCAACACAGCTCAAGTGCAAGAATGACCGCTTGAGCGTAGAATGCCAACTCCCGATATCTTTGCAGGCCTGTAAAAGTACTGAGAGTTCTCAAAGACCGCTTAAGCGCAAAAAGTGTCGCTTGAGCGAAAAAGCCAAAATTCGGGCATAAACCATTTTGAAAAACTAACTCTCGACCTGTTTCAAACGCAACCAAAGCACTCCAATAACTAAACTCAATGAGAAATAAGGAGAAATAAGACATGAACAATCATATAAGACAACAAAACTCAGATCCAGAATATCAAATGGGTTGAGTCTAAATTAGAATCGCTATACAATTCGAAACGGACCGAGCAATGTGTTGGACAACCACTCTAAAGTGGGCCAAGCAACATGGTGGACCTCCTGGTTAGGCAGGCAACCACTCCGAAGTGGGCCAAGCAACATGTTGGACCTCCTAGTTAGACAACCACTCTGAAGTAGACCAACTTAAAGAAGGCTAATTCACTGAAGATCTTTTTTGGGCTTACAAGAGACAAATAACTCTGTTCCTCTTCCTCTATCTAAGCAAAACGTGGAGACATGGAGGTAGAGAGACAAGGTGTACATATGACAGACCTGTGCTTGAGAAGTCAGGCGGAGTGGTCGTCCTCCTTTAATAAGAGATGACACGAACAAGATAAATAGAATAGGTGGCGGAGAAAGAAGGTCTTGAAGGACAAGTAACCTTTTCCCAATAAAAGGTGAGCACTATTCACCCACAAGGCATCTGAAATCCACACACTTAACAGAGACACACTTTTTGTATTCTCTCTTCTTCTTTATCTCCCTTAGTCCCTAACTTTACCATCGGAGGGGTTTCCGACCAAACCCTTGTCGGGCAGCCACATTGTTTGTTACTCTATACAGATCTTCAGTTCCCCGGAGCACGCTGTTCTTCCACGAAGTTCAACCCTTCTTCATAGTGCGAAAATCACCCCCGCACAATTGGCGTCGTTTGTGGAAAGACCACTACTTGCTTCATGACAAACTTCGGTGATGAGAATCGAAGACATATCACATTCAAGGCTAGTAGAGAGGACTCCGAAGATGGAGATGACCAAAGATAAGGGTTTAGTATTCCCTTCAGCACACGATGACCTTATGAACCATGACGACGAGACACCCGACGTGGCAGAGCAATGTCGTGTTGTTGCCGTTGAGTCATCTCAGCATCTTTTTATTGAGATCGCATCATCGATTCAATAGGTCTAGAGATCACTGAGCTTCGTACCCAATTAATGAAGTTCATGACAACCACAATGGAGCCAAAAAAGTCCGTTGAAGGACCATCATAAAGGAGACGTACTCCTCCTCTACCGCCACCACCTCACAAGTACTCTAGCCGTGGACCTGCTCGTGAAGAGCGTAGTCGGCCAATTTCAGTACGTAGTGAAGGGGCTAGTAGTTGGACGGATAACCTCAAAAAAAATAACCCATAAGAGGACTCTTATAAAATAAAAAAGACTGTCAACTGCCTATTTGAAACCCTTCTTTGCCGCCGCGACTAGCAGTCGCATGATTTAAGAAGTTGGCTGAACGATAACAGAGAAGAGGCACGATGGCTACGTCAACTTGTTGACGCAACGGCTGGACATGAGGAACGCCGACTCGATAGACACGTGGACCAGTCCATACACCAACAAGAACATCACGCTCTGGACCAGTTAGTGTCCACCTCTTCTACTAAGAGATAGAAGCTATGGAACCTCCACAGAAGTACAGCCTGTCGAAGTTCATTCTTTATGACTGGAAGACGGACCCTTTAATCCACATTAGCCATTATCGCCAGATGATGTCCCTCTAGAACCGTAACGACACGCTCATGTGTAAAGTTTTCCCTTTTAGCCTTGGAGAACTTGGGCTCCGATGGTTTGATAAACTCCCCATTGGTTCGATCTATGACTGGGCGCAACTCTCTATGGCGTTCTTAGCTCAATTTGTCTCCAACAGCAAAGTCCCAAAGGAGTTGGATACCCTGTTCAATATCCAAAAGGACAGAAAATAGACTTTGTGCCAGTACGGGCGGCGATATTGGAAGGAGTATGTCAACTTGGAGGAAAATGTTTGCAGCGAACAACTAGTTGTGCTATACTTCAAACAAGGCCTACCTCCTTCATACAAGCTAAGACAATTATTGACAAAACGACATGCCCCTACTATGAAG